GGACATGATGTCCTCTGTTGGACATGTTGTCCTCTGTTGGACATGTTGTCCTCATGTTGGACATGTTGTCCTCATGTTGGACATGTTGTCCTCTGTTGGACATGTTGTCCTCTGTTGGACATGTTGTCCTCATGTTGGACATGTTGTCCTCATGTTGGACATGTTGTCCTCTGTTGGACATGTTGTCCTCTGTTGGACATGTTGTCCTCATGTTGGACATGTTGTCCTCATGTTGGACATGTTGTCCTCTGTTGGACATGTTGTCCTCTGTTGGACATGTTGTCCTCATGTTGGACATGTTGTCCTCATGTTGGACATGTTGTCCTCTGTTGGACATGTTGTCCTCATGTTGGACATGTTGTCCTCATGTTGGACATGTTGTCCTCATGTTGGACATGTTGTCCTCTGTTGGACATGTTGTCCTCATGTTGGACATGTTGTCCTCATGTTGGACATGTTGTCCTCTGTTGGACATGTTGTCCTCTGTTGGACATGAGTCTTCGTCTCAGACTCTAAGTCTCTTTAAAAAAGACTTTTATTTTGAAATCCTGCTGTGCGTTCTGCTGCATCAGTGAATCAATCTGATCTGGTCTGAAGCCAGTCTGGCTCGTCTTCAGCTTAAAAAGTCCAGAACCAGCTCTTTTTGTCTCGGGTCCGGTCTATGATTACAGGAGGTTCTGACGGGTCCTGGTTCAGGTTCTGCAGAGATGTGTTTGTTTCTGACAGCGAAGCAGAAAAAAAGCAATAATCTTCTTTTATTACAGTCGTGTGGTTTTAATAAGAGCTGCTGTCTCCAAGGGTCCAAACCCACTGCAGGTGAGGAGGAGGAGGAGGGGACCGATGAAGGCTTTCTGGACTCTGGTTCTGAGTTCTGAACCCGACCAGCAGAACTTGTCTCAGTGTTGACCTCAGTTGGACACATGTCTGAGGAGTAGGACACAGTGCAGAGCAAAGGTTTGGACCCATCTTCTCAGTTCTTTATTTCATGACCACAAACTGTAGATTCACACTGAGGCTGTCCAAACTGTGAGTGATGTGGAGTTACTGTATATACTGAACCAACAGTGTGAAACAACTGAAAACATGTTTTATTTTCCAGGTTCTTCATAATAAAAACCTTTAGCTTTGATTACAGCTTCACACACTCATGATGAGCTTCAGTGTGGCCCGTCAGGATATTAATCCTGATTACAGGATTAATATCCTGACGGGACCACGTATTAACGTGATGTTGGACCATCAGTTGTGTTGTGCTGAAGGTGGACACAGCACACAGCCGACAGTCCTACTGAACACACTGTTAGTTTGTTCTATGGCAGGAAAACAGCAGCTAAATAAAGAAAAACCAGGGACCATCTTTACTGTAACACATGAAGTCAGTCAGTCGCAAAAACCWTCAAGAGCTACAAAGAAACTGGATTACATGAAGACCGCCCCAGGACAGGAAGACCAAGAGTCTCCTCTGCTGTGGATTATAAATTCATTTGAGGCACCAGCCTCAGAAATGACAGATTACCAGCAGCTCAGATTAGAGAACAGCTCAGATTAGAGAACAGCTCAGATTAGAGAACAGCTCAGATTAGAGAACAGC